TATATATATATATATATATATATATATATATATATATATATATATATATATATATATATTAAAGAAAACGATCTCGTTCTAGTACAAAAAGAACCCAGAATTAAACATGAAAATATATATCAGGGTCCTCACGTTGTAACTAAAGTAGATGGTGTAAATATTACTATTTTCGATAAAGAAAAAGATAAAGTAAAAACAATCCACAAAAATAGAGTTCAAAAAGTTAGTTGAAACTTTCATCTCAACCAACTATTATTTCAACATATAACAAAAACATGTATATGAATTTTTCAAGTCAAGCAAACAAACAAAAAAATGTGTAAAATGAAATATTCACTAAATAGAAATTGTTCGCCAAATGAACACAATATATAAACGCAATATTATAAATACTAAAGAAATATGCTTTAAATGTACTTAAATACGTTTATTTATAAGAAATAAAATTGTAATAACTAAATTACAATACTACTACAACTACAAAAGAAAATGTTACTTAAGACTACAAAATTTTTAATGAACAAATATTGTACTATAAAATACTTTCAAATCAAACATTAAAATGTATAGTTAAATATTTCTGAAAACAAAAAAAAAGATTATTCAATATAAGACTAATTTAATTTTTTTAACTTCAAATTAGTTTTGCCTAATACTAATTACGATTAAGTAATTTTATATAATGTATATTTAGTTAGTATGTTATGGAGTATGCATTTCCAAATTGCTATGGACGAACGAATAAAAGGGGAGAAAGAAAATTAATATAACATTTTCGTTCCTTCAAAGCAATTTGACATACTATGTGGAAAGAAGATTTTACAAGTCCGATCACCTTGTAAAACATCTTTTCTGTGGTGTAATGGCACCACACGCGATGTGGTAACATCTTCTATGGCAACACTTTTGTTGCCCAAAATAATAAAATTACATCGCGTGTGTTGTCAACACTGGCGAGCTTACGATCCACATTCGTTTCTAGAAGGTGTATCGTAGGCTGGCTTCAAGAAAGCATTTCACTCGATTCTCGCCTTTCAACCTGACCGGTCAATAAAATTTTATAAAGTTTTAATTAATTAACTTTTTGTATAAATTTTTAAAACAAGTATTTTTATTTCTACAAGCGAAAGTAGTATTCGCGTGTGTACTCTTTTTATTATCAATATAAACCTTTCTTTATTGTGGATACTCGGAGTTTGTAACTCCATATGTAGCACTGCTACACATACACGTATAGCAGCGGAGCCCCAACTGGAACCGGAGCTGTAACCCGGCGTTTTAAAGGAGTTTCATCAGTACGGTAAGCAGGTGTGCAACAAATCCAAAATCTTGTAAGAATTGGCAGCTTCCATGTTTTGAGAGCTTAAAAACAGGATAGAATTTTTCTAGTGGAAATTCGAAACAAAATGTTTTAAGCGAAACATTTGTGAATGTACATGAATTTTTTAAATTAACTATAAACTGCATAATAAATAATAAATAATATGCATAAGTTAATTTGCATAAATCTTTTTTTGTCAAAAATTTACTGCTGTCAAAGAAGATTTAATTTCACACAGCAGATTGGCAAAACTGTATCACCATATTAAAACTATTATTCACCAGCTTTCCCCGCGGAACTTTGGGCATAAATGCAGAATAGCTCCGATTCTCATATAAAAAAGAGACATATGGGGATTGTCTAAGCCGCTGCTTAAGCCGAGTTCAGCGGCGCGACGCGACTCCGAAAATAATTACCGAGCGCGCACGGCCGCCTCCCAATCGTCGTGCGAAAATCCGCACAAACCAGTTCAGCTACTCAAGTCGGACAACGCGCACGCGCCCCCTTAATATCAGCAATTTTAAAACATCTTTTTAACTGTGTCATCCAAAATATACTTTGAATATATGAGCAAACTATTAAGCAAAATACATAAAAATTGAAAACCAACGTATTTCCTTAAAGCGGAAAGAAACTGTGTGTGTGCAAGGTGAGTGCGAAAGGCAACCATTGGAATTATTCATGGTCCTTCGCAGCCAACCGTGGCCCAGCTCCTAAAGAAAAAAAAAAAGAGAAACATTTTAGAACTTAAAAATAAATTAATAAAACCTACAAAAAAAAATCGGTTCTCGTACGTCCGCAAAAACAAACATATAAAAACAATTTTAAGAGTGGAAAAAAGATACAAACAAAAGTGCACGTATATACATACATATACATATACGCAACAAAAAAAAAACACAAGAAACGTGAAAAATAAAAATTGTTAAATTAGCAAAACATATAAATTTTTTGAAAAAGAAGTGCGCAAACAAGCGTTCGAAGTGCTACACACAAGTGAACATATTCACAAAAGTGCAAACAATTTGAAAAAAAACGTAATTTTGTTGCGCAAAATTTCAAAAATTTATATACACAACAACAACTAAAAGAAGAAGCAAAGCGCAATCAGCAGCCATCAACCAACCAAACCATCAGCCAACATTGGAGCGACATCACCAGCATCAACATAAGCGGTAACAACAACACCAGCACAAGAAGACCCCGGCGCAAAAAGGACTTACACACATTCATATACATAAATCAAGGAAAGTAGTAAGTAGGCAAATTTTTAATTTCCTTAAAAATTTAAATAATATAACTTTCATATTCTTGAAAGTTATATTATTTCTAATAAACTGCCAACGGGCATACATACGTATATGCATATATATATATATATATAATTAAATAAAAGGCGTATTTATTCTCGCCAAAAACGGTTTCACTAAAATTGCGGATATTTTCTTGCCGCCCAAAAATCTCACATCGGCAATTTGCCGCTATTGAATTTTGGTAGAAACATTCCGTTTTCCGGAAAGCGGTTTATCTCCACTTACCGCCAATCTTATATATATATATAAGTATATGTACATATATACAAGTTCTGATATATACCCCAAAATAAATTCCGTTGCAGTTTATATGCCTACTGTGTCCCACTGTGCAAGAACAAAATATTAGCACATTAAAATCACATACTTTCCTCTGCTTACCAATTTTTGCCGTTGGTCGCATAGTTCGTTGAACTTGGCTAAACAAATTGCCGAAAAACATAAGTGCACTATTTCCCATATATCATATGTACATACGTTAGCACATATAAACATTTTTACCAGTTGCATTTTCTGCAACTATTCGTATAATAGCTAAGAGAGTCGCTGCTATTTATCGAACAATACAGTCCACACGTATCAAGCGCACTCTAGCTTATTTTAATTTATTTCAATCTTGCTTTTCTCTGCTGCACTCACCAAGCTAAGAGAACGTAAATCAAAGCCCGCTCTCTCAGCGGTGAGCGGCTCTTTACGTATTATCATATCCACTTGTACATTCCCGCACACATACATACACACGCACTATAATCAAAACAAATTCTCTGTTGTTTTCGTTTCTTAACTCACCACTGCTGTGACAAAGCATAGCTTAGCCATATACTCGGCTTCATACGTAAATATTTGTACATACATACGTACGTACATTTTTACATTCTACATATTCTGCACCAGCCAAGACAACCCAGCCGACCTCGGCACCCGTGGTTGCAAACCGCAGGACTTGGCAAATTCCCCACTCTGGTGGCACGGACCAAACTGGCTCTCTTGCCACATGGATGCATGGCCAAGGTCAAAGGCATGCAGTGCATCCCCACCAGAAAAGCGCAAGGTGGAGGTATATCACGCGCTCGAAGAAGAGGTCGATTTTCTTGATCGCTGTTCTTCTTTCTCTCGAGCACTCCGCGTGACTGCGTACATGTTCCGCTTCGTGAGCAATGCCCGCAACAAATCAAAGGGGTTAGCTACAATCACCTATCCGCATCTGACACATAACGAATTTCAATATGCAAAAATTCGTCTTATCAACGCAGCGCAATCACGCCATTTTCCGCGCGAAAAAAGCGCTTTGCAAGATAAAAAGCCACTTAACAAAAAAAGTCCTCTTATTATTCTCAATCCTTCGTTGGACAAAGACGGACTTCTACGGGTTAATGGCCGATTAGCACATTCCACATTAAGCTATAATGAAAGGAACCCAATAATTCTCCCTACCGAATCGAGGTTCTGCCAGCTATATTTGGAGTTTTTACACTCGCTGCTTCTTCACACAGAAACACGATTAATGCTCCAAATGGTAAGGCAAGAGTACTACGTACCAAAGCTGAAACCTCTAATTAAAAAATGCATCTTTCAATGCAAAGTGTGCACGCTGTACAAGCAACAAACACGCACCCAAATAATGGCCGCTCTACCCCCTGAGCGCTGCAGTTTCTCACTCCCATTTTCCACAACGGGAGTAGATTTTGCTGGGCCATTCCAAATTAAAGCATCGGTGCTAAGATCTACAACCCTTATCAAGGGATACGTTGCAGTTTTTGTCTGTTTTTCCACAAAGGCAGTGCATCTCGAGCTATGCTCGGATCTTACAACCGAAGCTTTTCGAGCAGCATTCGCCCGCTTCGTTGGCAGACGAGGTTTTCCCTCAAAAATCATGAGCGACAATGGAAAAACGTTCATTGGCGCCCAGCGCGCAACAGAACGCGACTTCGTTAAATTCCTTAACGAATGTTCCGCAGACATTGTCAAAAAATATGCCCCTCAAGGCATCAACTGGCAATATATACCACCCAGCGCCCCCCACATGGGCGGCTTGTGGGAATCTGCAGTGAAAAGCTTTAAAATCCATTTAAAGAAAACCGCTGCAACCCACAAGTTCACTTTCGAAGAATTCACGACGCTTCTGGTGCGAATTGAAGCAGTCCTCAACTCGAGGCCTCTATCCGCACTTTCTCAAGACCCAGCTGATATGACAGCACTTACTCCGGGTCACTTCCTTCGAGGTGCACCGCTGTTGGCCATTCCCGAGTCTAATGCGGAAAACCTTTTTCAACTAAACCGGTGGGAGAAAGTCAAAGCACTTCACCACCAATTTAGTCGTCGCTGGAAAGAAGATTACCTCAAAGATCTTCAGAAGAGATACAAGTGGAAAACCCCACAAAGCGATCCTCAGCCAGGCGACATCGTCGTGATCAAAGAAGATTCATTCCCCCCCACCGAGTGGCGATTGGGACGAATCGAAAACGTTCGCCATGGCCCTGATAACCACATACGTGTCGTGGAAGTCCGTACACAAAATGGAGTTATCACGCGGCCACTTGTCAAACTGTGCTTCCTTCCAAAAGCACCATAGATAATTCTATACATATTTTCCTTCTGTATATTAAGGGTCTTAACTTCCCGTTTAAACATTGTACACAAGTACTTCTCGTTTCTCTGCCTTTGCTTCTACTTCCAGATCGAAGACATCATGGCAGCGCGGAAGGCGTGCCCCCTGGCTCCAACGGCAGAGACAGACAACTGCCTACAATGCCGGCTCTGCCACCGTTACCACGCATTGCGGACGTGCCCGGCCTTCAAGGCGATGAAGCCGCCGCAACGGTTGGGAGTAGCCCGCGCGCAAGGCTACTGCGTCAACTGCCTTGCGCTCACCCACACTACCGGGGAATGCGACTCGCCGGGTAGTTGCAAGACCTGCGGGCTAGCGCACCACACGCTGCTGCATGTGGCAGCCAACACGCATGCGCGCACGGGGCCAAGGGAACAGGGGCCCAAGAAGAGGAAACCGGCCACAAAGGCCCCAAGGAGCGTCAAGCGGCGCGCACCGCCGAAGAAAAAGGCGCTGAAGAAGGCGCAGAAGAACCCGCGCAACCATGCGCCGCAACCGCCGCGCAAGAAGACCGCCCAACGGACGATCGCGCGCACGCCCCAAGGCCTACAAACGGCCAATTTCCAGGGCCGCACCACCCACCGCGTCCTGGGCAACACCATCCGCGCCCTGAAAGAGCTGCAGGAGACGCTCAGCAACGCATTCCTGCAGGGCGGGGATGATGTCTAAGCCGCCGCTTAAGCCGAGTTCAGCGGCCGTGCGCGCGCACTTTGGCGGCAGTGGAGTCGACGCGACTCCGAAAATAATTACCGAGCGCGCACAAACCAGTTCAGCTACTCAAGTCGGACAACGCGCACGCGCCCCCTTAATATCAGCAATTTTAAAACATCTTTTTAACTGTGTCATCCAAAATATACTTTGAATATATGAGCAAACTATTAAGCAAAATACATAAAAATTGAAAACCAACGTATTTCCTTAAAGCGGAAAGAAACTGTGTGTGTGCAAGGTGAGTGCGAAAGGCAACCATTGGAATTATTCAGGGATCAATAGAGATCATTGCGGTGAGTATAACAGTATGGCCCCTATTATGAGTTGCATTCGATCTTAGACTGTGGTCGAAAGTGCTGATCGAACGAATTTCCATTTGGTATTATGACGCTCATTCGATGAAGAATAGCGCATATACATATGTAGATATATAAATTTGTGCAAATTAAAATTAAATAAAAAAAAGCGAGTTTATAAAACCGTGGTAAAAATGAGTACAACGAGTTCTGGTTCAACGATTCGTCAGAGGATGAGAGCTTAGTAAATAGGCAGGAGTAGAAAATGTTTAATGTAGAGAAATTTGTCTAGAGATTTATTAAAAAGTTCGGACTGTCTAAAGAAGCGTTTGTGAGCCAAATCTATTTAAAGTATTTTAAAACTAACAACAGCTCTACTATTTTGTTCTCAGAGATTGTGCCAACTGAGTATTGGGATTTTCTTTCAAAAGTCAAACCAGCCTTTCGAGCTTGTGTTTAGTATTCACGACGTTAGAACTGCACAAAATTATAAAATTTTTTTTAAAATTAGTGTGTTTAGACCTGTAGACTAAACCAATCAATCCATGATGGTCCACCCTAATACATAATTGTGTACGCACACATGCGTGCACTTTTATGCAGTAGGAAATGACCAGAAAGTTCATACACTTTTCCCGCCAAATTAACCATCGTCAAGCTTCCCCTCCAAATAGTTGTACTGTATGGAGGTTGAACTTAATTTTACTGAAAACAGCGCGGCCACTACTTTTCTGGAGATCTGGAGATCTACAGGGAACGACCATCAGCCACCACCTACGTCACAATCACTTGAGGTAATATATTCCGTGTATACCTTCAATTTATATATATATATATATATATATATATATATATATATTTATATATATATTTATTTATTTATTTATTTATTTACTTAGCCAATTAATACAATAAAAATTCTTATAGGCTAAGTAGAAAATAGTTTGACATTATTAATACATAATAAGAAAAAATAAAACTACTTATAAAAAAGACTCAGAGAATTCCTAAAGCGATTGTTTGAAGTTGAAAAATCGATATCAACATATTTATAAATTCTGTTGAATTCAATTAAGGCTCGTGATGGGAGCATTTCGTGCATATAGAGCCCTAAAAATACCAACATGGAAAAACTCTGAGCAGCGTAGAGGTCTGGCAGGTATATTACAGAAAATCCTCTCAAGGAGTATGGGACAGTCTACAAAACCACAGACTAGATCGAAAACAAAAGATAAAGAAAGGATTATTCTCCTACTTTGCAAGGATTTTAAGTTTATCAACAGGCATCTCGATTCATAGGTGGGGATAGGGTCCGAAAAGCGTAAGTTATGTAGCGCACAGCGTAAAGACTGGTTTTCACTACGTCATATTTTGACGCCAAAATTTGGCGACATATTTTGACACAACTTTATTTCCTTTATCCATACCTTTACCGATGATATTATGGGCCAAAAACTGACAGATAGCCGATTTAGCAGCGCATGTACACGACTAAAGACCTATCCTGATTTCAATCAATCGCTAAACCGCTTTTTAATCCCATTTGACAATTTGTTTTCACTTATTTGACGAAGAATGCCACTGAATTTGACAGAGTGAAAACCAGCCTTAAGAAAACTTTTTGGATACAAAAGTTTCAGTGTATACGGGTCGGTGAATTCCCTACCATGGCGCCTTACAAAAGCAAGCATGGAATACGATTTTGTAATAAAAAAATTTATATGATTAGCGAATGTAAACTTTGAGTCAAAAATTAGTCTAAGGTCCTTAATTTCATTTAAACGCTGTAGTGGCGACATGGAAATATGATAAGAGCTCTGAATAATATTACAACGTTTAGCATAGGTAACGTAAAATCATTTATTTGTATTCAACGAAAGACGATTTTTTATGCACCAATTGCTAACATTATCGATATCGTTTTGCATAAATTGAGAATCGAGAGAGTTACTGATCGGTGAATAAATCTTAAGATCATCCGCGTAAAGCAGAAACTTTGACGAGGAGAAACATGTACAGATATCGTTAATAAACAAGGCAAAAAGCAATGGACCCAGGATGCTACCTTGCGGGACTCCTGAGCGTGCAACAAAAGGCAGAGACCTAACATTGTCGAAAACAACCATGCAACGACGATTGTGTAAGTACGATGAAATCCAGCTCAGGAAAACTGAGTGGAAACCGATGCAGGCTAATTTTTTTAACAGGATACTATGGGACACCCTATCGAAAGCCTTAGAAAAATCAGTATAGACCGTGTCAACCTGAAGCGCTGATTGGAAAGCAGTTATGCAGTCATCTGAAAGCACTGCTAAATTGATACCGTTGAGCGGCCCGGTATAAAGCCATGCTGCTGCGGGCATATTGAATTCTTAGCAGCAGATAAAAGTTTGTCTTGGACAATGCACTCAAAAAGTTTTGACGTGGCAGAAAGCTTTGAAATTGGTCTGTAGTTGCTGATATCGTTTTTGTTACCACTTTTAAAAATGGGAGTGATGAAAGCTAATTTCCAATTATCTACAAAAGTGCCCGATGATAAGGATTTATTAAAAATTTCCAATAATGGATACACTAAAGATTCACACTGTTTAAACAAAAGTGCAGACAAACCATCATCGTCAGTTTGTGAGGAGGGTTTAAGCCGAGCAATGCCACTAAGCACATCCTCAGAAGTAAGTGTTAATTTGCCAAATTCAAGAGATTGTTGAATATCGAAAGAAACGTTCTCATCGCTATTGGAATCAGTTGTGAATGTGGCCTTAAAAAATTCAGCGAATAAATTAGCGGCTTCTGTAGGAGTGTTAGCAGCATTGTCACCCATACAAAGTGCCGACGGAATGCTGGAACAAGACTTTTTCGAATTAACGAAATGCATAATGCTTTTGGATTTGATTTTAAGTTTCAAAACTAAGGACATAGTTTCTATGCAAAAATTTATCGAAACATACGAATTCATTGGAGTATTTTTTATACAGGCCGAAGTAAACGAAGTAAGGCTTGTTTTTCTTATTTCGTAATCTCATTGAAGCTGCATTGTGCCATGGCACTTTGTAATGCTTTTTTGCTAATACTGGAACAGTACATTTGCAAATGTCTACAACAGTACTTCTAACGATCTCGAAACACTCGGAGACATCACAGTGGTGAAACTAGTTATCCCAGTTGACATCCAACAAAAGACCATTCAATTTCAAAAAAATCGCATTGCTTAAAGTTAAATGATAAGCTAGAATTAACATTGCTAAGTTTAGAAAATTTAAAAAATTCAACAACTAGAGGTACATGGTGCATGTCTGTTTTAGTTATGGGAAAATTACACTCCTGTAAAGAAAAATTTACAGTTTTACTTAAAAATATCAAGTCTAAAGTGCGACCAAGTTTATTGGGAAAAACAATTAATTTGCATGAGATCTATACTTAAAAAGCTATCAACTAGATACATTTCACTATTGCTATTAACAGCACACGCAATGAGAGCTGATTTGGAAATAGTGCGCGACCAATTGACATTGCAGAGGTTAAAGTCACCCAGGACGCAAAGATGATCACCTCCTACTGTATTCAAAGCGAGAGATTAATGTTGTCGACATGTGCTGTGTAAATGCTGTGGCTACTATTTGGCGGAATATACGAAGCAGCAACAACAAGGGAGTCGGAACTACCACGAATTCTAACACACAGTTGGTCGAGTAGCGCATTTTGATTTTCAAGCTCAATTATAGAAGCATGGTGCTTACATTACACAGCGATAAGAACGCCCCACCTCTCGCTAAGCCAGTTAGAGTGGAGTTTCTATCTTTACGAAAGACGTTGTAAAGGTTAGAGTCGAAATACTCATCACTGTAGAAGTTTTCATTCAGTCAAGTCTCAATGATGACTATAACGTCGTATTAAAGATGAGAACTAAACAACCGCACAAGCTGAGATTTAGTTTTACATGTAGATTTTCAGGCGGCAATGTTCTCTACTTGAGCCGATCGTTGGCCGTCGGACGTCGGTTGAAGCTCTTCGTTTTTTGGAAAAAAGCGAAAAGGGCGTACAACTACGTTAGCAGGCCACAGCTCAGGCAGTAATAGCTTCGAGTATGAATTTACGTGTACACCCAGTTTGAAGTTAATACTTTTGAGAGTACTAGCGTGGACACCTTTCTTGACAAGGCTGTAGCAAAACATCGAATTCTTATCGATAGCAGTGCGATTTAAAATAAACTCTTTAACCATATCAGCCGTGACTGAATTTGAAAAGGGCGAAAGATGCAGCCATTTATAACGTTCGGCTACTGCAAGCTTAGTGTTCGAGTTCGAACCAACAAAAAGTTGTTTAATATTAGTTTTCCTTTTGTTTTCGACATTCTTTCCATTTGAGTTGGGCGATCGCGAATCGGCTGTATTATTGTTATTGACAACATCTTCACTTATTTTGTTTAGAGAGTTAGGGCAACGCGAAGTAGAAGTAGCAATAGGTGCAGTTTGCTCAATATTAGTTTTCCTTTTGTTTTCGACATTCTTTCCACGTGAGCTGGTCGATCGCGAATCGGCTGTATTATTGTTATTGACAACATTTTCACTTGTTTTGTGTAGAGAGTTACAGCCAGTTTCACCAAATTATTTAAGTGAAAATTACTTTAATTTCGGTTTCACCAATCAATTTTAATTTTGATTTAAGTGACCTATGCTCTGCACTTAAATAAAAGTTAAATCAGAATAACCACACTCAGAGGTGTTACACGTTTAATCACCTGATCATTGTGCATCTGCTGCTTACTTGTATACCAGCCCTGCTTTTACAACACAGCGTGCCAAAGCTTTCAAAAGCTCTCAGTACAAATGAAAGCGAAAGCTAGTCCTAGTCTGTTTACAACCACTTTTTACTCACTTAAATAAATAGTTTATTGAAACTGAAAATAATTAAAATGAGATTTAAATAAAAAATTAAATTAAAGTTAATTTCCACTT